ACAATTTCTAAGGTATACGCGTCTAGCGTTAGAAATTTTTCTAACGGCGCCACGTCATTGGCTCATGTCCAAACGTAGCGGCAGAGCTACCGTGCCTCGTCTATTTTCGTTGATTCTCCGATCTTCGTGAAAAGTTAGTTTGGTGTAATGGCCGTTGCTATATCCCTCCTCTTTTCTCTCTCAGTCTCTCAGTCTCTGTCTCTCTCTCTCTCTTTCTCTCTCTCTTTCTCTCTCTCTTTCTCTCTCTCTCTATCTGTCTCTCTTTCTACTATCTTTATTCGAGAGAATGTACGTAAATACGTTTCGATTGTGTCACGTATGAGATAAATAGAAACAGACAGACAGACAGACAGACAGACAGACAGATGGATAGACACGCATCTTAATAGACTTAATACAAGTAATCAAATGAAACGTTCGTATCCTACGTTTAATTAATTCTTTCGATTGGATCCATCAGATTCGTGTAAAAAAAAAAGAAGAGAGAGAGAAAGAGAGAGGAAGAGAGAGAGAGGGGGGGGGGAATAAAATCGTGACAATATAATCTGTGTGAAAAAGTGAGTGTGAAAGATAGATAAATGTAGAGATAGAAATAGAATGCACAGATGGAGATAGAGATAGACTACATAAATTCATATATACATATATATATATATTTTTTTTTTTTTTTATTTTTTATTTTCTATATATACATATATATATATATATATGCATACAGATATAATATGTGGACACATGTATATATCCACAGATATTCACATTATGGTAATTAAAACCAATGAACAATTCTCTGATGGCAGCGGAGTGACATGGCGGTTAGAACGTTAATTGCACGTATCCTACAGGAAAATTGCTTTCCATTTGCGCGGATTCAATCGTTAACAGGATTCCACACCCATCTTTCTCTCTCTCTCTCTCTCTTTCTCTCTCTTTCTCTCTCATCTACCCGGGGCGGCGGCGACGGAGGGGGGAGGGGGTAAGGGGGGACCCATCAAACTACTCCCAACCAACCCCCCTTATCAAATTCTGTCACCACTCTCGTCACCACCGCCACCACGTGAAAATACGTGTTGCGTATGAATCGTTGACGCCTTCTCTGCGTTAAACGCGGCCTCACGCAGATAGGGGGTTAGACGTATCTTTGATCTTCCATTAAATGCGTCGGGTTTCCTACTCACCCTCTATCTCTCTTTACCCCCTACTACTACTACTATTATTATTACTACTACTACTACTACTACTACTACTTATCCCTTCAACTTCGTCTCGTATTTTACGTATACGTATTTCTATCTCTGTCACTACAGTTTGTAACTATGTCTCTATTTCTGTCTCCCATTTTTAAATGCGTTAAATTATAATGAGATATACGAAAAGGACGAAGATCTCTTTTACGAGTATACTCACCCGAAATTTCAAACAAGATTAAAGTATTCTTCCGATAGGGGTAACAT